CTTTCCCGCAGTTCCGACGCCAGTTCATCCGACATTGAACGACAGACAGCACTACCGTCGGACGGCCGAATCAAACAAAAAGAAAAGCATTCTCCCGGCAAAGCAACCTAACAGCGATGTGTAGAAGCATATATGAAAGCATTCCCCTTAAGATTCAGATGAAAATCCAGTTGTAGAATTCTGCTGTTCTCGCAGTCGTAGTCGCATTCGCGATGACAGTCGCAGCGGCAACGGCAGTCGCAGTCACAGCCTCAGCCTCAGCCTGCCTCAGCCTCAGCCTCAGCCTGCCTCAGCCTCAGCCTGCCTCAGCCTCAGCCTCAGCCTGCTTCAGCCTCAGCCTCAGTCTGCCTTCAGCCTCGGCCTCAGCCTCAGCCTGCCTCAGCCTCAGCCTGCATCAGCCTCAGCCTCAGCCTCAGCCTGCCTGCCTCAGCATCAGCCTGCCTCAGCCTCAGCCTCAGCCTCAGCCTCAGCCTCAGCCTGCTTCAGCCTCAGCCTCAGTCTGCCTTCAGCCTCGGCCTCAGCCTCAGCCTGCCTCAGCCTCAGCCTGCGTCGGCCGCAGCATCAGCCTGCCTCGGCATTCAAAATGTGGCCCAGGAATGGAGTTCTGGGAAACAGAAGAACACGAAGTGGCCTACAGCTGGCTCCGGGCATTCAAAATGTTGCCCGGGAATGGAGTTCTGGGAACTGGCGCTTCAGATGACAAGTGCAAGCCGACTCTCTCCTAAGGTACATCTGGCGTTGCGATGCTTTTTCTGCGTGCAGAAACTTCTTCCGGATTGAGAACGTAGTCTCTGTTAGGTTGGCCAAGAGTATCCACGAGCTACCTCCAGTGGCTTACGCTGACAGTTGCACATTGGCGCATTATGACAACGATGTGAATCCAGGTTCCCATGATTATGAAGCCGAAGGCACTGCCCTCAATATTCATGATATTACTGGATCAGTACATTCGAGGATCATCCAGTGCCTAAAATCCACTAAACCTCAAGCGGGCTTGGACCAAGACATGACAAAGTTTGAGGAACTGGCGGACACACCGACGCAAGACGAAAACGCCAGAGAAGCTCCAGAAGCCGAACCGCCGCAGGAGGATGGACGGCTTCCTACGACATATAAGGAATCGGAAGCGGACCTTGAGGCACATATTGTGGAAGTGTGGTATACAGAACTACATGATGAAAGGGAACAGCTGGAGGCATCTCTACTAGGCGACCTTTACACTGTACCCGCGCATATGATTCCCGACAACAGTGCGTTTGTCACTGTAGTTGAAGAACAGCGGGGGCACCTGCCTAAGCGGGGACATCCCCCCCGCGACTCCGACATCGAGGAGACGTTTCATGTCCCACTATTCTCCACGGCCGAAGACCGCAGTCACGGATTGGACTTAGACGGAAACGGTCAATATGTTGAACTCTGTTTCGCGGCAGAATGTCAAAGGTAATCCTATCCGAACAGCAGCACAGGATATTAGATGCCGGCCGTGTAACCACCATGCGAATATATGCTACCGCCGCTGCAAAGCGAGCTGTGGTCGTCAAGGAAGACGACCTCCTCGCGAAGGCTGACGTCCAGGCGAATCCCTAGAAAAGTATCCAATGCCCTACACACCGAACTCCAGGCATGGTGCGGCAACAAGGTGTTCCAAGAGGCAAGCTAGATCTAAAGCGTCGGAAGAGCGTGTTCTACCGCTGCTGGCGGAAAACCGGGGGGGGTCACTACCGGTTCGAACCCCTCCCCCCCCCCCCCCCCCCCGAAAACCGGGGGGGGTCACTACCGGTTCGAACCCCTCCCCCCCCCCCCCCATCATGAAAAGGGGGGGGGTCACTACCGGTTCGAACCCCCCCCCCCCCCCCCACCCCCCTTCCGGATCCGGAAAACCGGGGGGCGTCACTACCGGTTCGAACCCCCCCCCCTCGAAAACCGAGTGGGGGTGCGGACAGTGGTGGGGACGGTGGAGTGGGGGGACAGTGGGACAGTGGTACAATGGTGGTGGTGGACAGTGGTGAAGGCGGTGGCAGACAGGGACGGCGTGTGGGACAATGGGACAGAGGTACAGTGGGGACAGTGGTGGGGACAGTGGGGACAGTGGTGGGAACAGTGGGACAGCTCAGTGGGACAGCGGAGGAGTCAGTGGGACGGGGACAGTGGGGATAGTCGGGCAGTGGTTGGGGCCGTGGAGACAGTGGGGAGAGTGGAACCGTGGTGGGAACAGTTCTGGGGACAGCGGGAACAGTGCGACAGTGGTGGGGCCACTGGTGGGGACAGTAGGGGCGGTGGTGGAACCAGTGGGGACAGCGGCGGTGAGGACAGTGGTGCTGGGAACACCAGTGGGGGATGTGATGCGGACGGTGTTGGGGACCGGGAGTCGTTTGCTGGCGGTGAGTAGGGGGGGGGGGGGGGGGGTTCGAACCGGTAGTGACCCCCCCCGGTTTTCCGGATCCGGAGGGGGGGGGGGGGGAGGGGTTTGAACCGGTAGTGACCCCCCCGGCTTTCGAGCGGGAGGGGGGGGGGGGGGGGGGGGGGGGTTAGGGGAGGGGGGGGTTTTGCCGGGTGAAGGGGGGGGGGGGGGGGGGGGGAGGGGGGTTCCAGCAGGGGGGGGGGGGGATTTTCGGAGGGGGGGGGGAGGGGCGACCCCCGGGTTCCGGAGGAAAAGGTTGGCAATTTTCCACAGTAAAGCGGCGGTGGATCACGCTCTCTCAAAGCGTCAAACATCATGATTTCGAGGTATGTGCATACATGGAAGTTCGTGAAGCACGAGAAGGGCGAGATGGAACGTGCCGTCGGATTACACCGGGTGCTTCGAGGTTTCATGGACTTTGAAGCTTTCGACGTGGAAACCTTCTCCGGGACAGCACGGCGGCCAAGCTAGAGGGTACTCGCAAGCGTGGCATGTTGCAAGAAGCAATGGATCATTGCTTCCCTCGACATCAACATGGTTGTCCTGACAGGGTTGACCTACCAGGAACTTGCTGAAACAACTGGTGAGAAAGAACGCGTGGCGTGCTTTACTTTGTTGCCTGGATCGGCTACGGTGCTTCGGTCCCTCCCAGGGTTCGAGCACTACGACGAGTCCAAGCACTGCCTGCAGTGCCTTAAGCCAGGCACTGGCACCAAGGATGCATCCAGAGCTTTCTCACTGAAGCTCAGGAGGTCCACGAGAGGCTTCGGTCTCAGACCCACGTCCTACCACGAGGAGTTCGAGACGGGCAGTAACCTGCTCACAGCCAAACGTGTTGATATCAATCTGGCCGGTACTGAGGACACCATTGGCAAGTACGTCAAGCGTGTAGAGGACACTTTTGGTAAGTGTAGAGTCAACAAGCATACATCATATACCAATTGTGTTGTGGTGCATACAGAGGATGAGGACGGCAATGTCGTATTGGACCAAGAAGAATACATCAAGCAGCTCCGTCCCATACAACATCCTGAACTCACCGGCGCCGACGATGACGCCAAGGCATCCAGGATGGTTGCAGACATTTTCGTCAGCCTCAGAGGCGCATTGGCTTACGCATTAATCGCCCAAGTGTGGTTGATGGTGTATGTCTCTCCTACAACGTGTCCAAGAACCGACCAATATACAAGTGCGACGACTGAGCGCGATTACCAGGACATTGCAGGCCTGCCCGAAGGGAAGGAGGCCACAACGACGAGGAAAAAAGGGGACCACCACGACGACGAAGGAAGGAAACGGACACATATGTGTAGCCTGTACTGGGGCGCGGGCGCCAGTCTGAACGACGTGAACAAAACGTTGATGTTGAAATGGGGCCACCGCTTGAGCGGAAGATGACCAGAGAGTGAACAACACAATATGACACACAACAAACACACTGTTTGAATTGTCTCCGCGATGTTCTCGTGGCACCCGTGGGTTTTGTGCCAGGAACACGCTGTTTCAATAACTGCGGGGAAGAGCTGAAACACCAGCTCGGGAGCAGCGTCGCCCCACTAGCACGGCACATCCGGGGAGAGGGCGGCGAGCAGTGCAGTGCTCATATGTTGAGCAGCCTCGAGGAGCGAAAGGGTGGGCGGGGGGGGCGTCGGGCGGTGGACTGAGGCATGGGGAGAATGGGGAGGGGGAGGGGCAGAGGAGGAAGAGGACCAGGGGAAAGGGTGCGGTCAGGGCCAGCGTTACGGGCTGGGTGGAATCAGGGGGACTTGGGAATTCAACGACCCGCAATCGCCCACTCATAGCCGATGGGTCCGATAGCCCACCCCACACAAGTACGTGTAGATACGCAATCGGAGGCCTATCGTCGATCTATCGGCGATGTATGTTTCGGGGGAAGGATACGGCAGGTTCGTGTTGTGTCGAGGCGGCGGCGACCCCAGCGAGGGCGATCAACCTCGAACGCCGCCAGTGGCCTGGAATCGATCGATGTGGAACACTTTGCGCTGTCGGTAAGCCACGATCTTTCATGGTCGAAAGATGCACTCAGTGTCAGAACCCAGCGTGTGTGCTTTCATGGCGGAATCCAGTGCGGAAGGGACAGACGTTTGGTTCAGGAGTGGCAAGATTCATGGTAATTTCAGTCATCGCTCATGGCTGAGACGCGAAGTTTGGAGTGGGCGCTTGATCTGTCATTTTTGAGATATTGGATGCACGTGAACAGTTGCAGTGGGCAGGATGTCGAGGCAGGTTTCACAATTACTGTTATCTCTGTGCGCAGGCTGTGCGCGTGACGCATTGCCTATGCTGAAAAAAAAGAAAAGGGGATGAGAGAAACTGTCGAAGAGAAGGCAGGAGGAGAGAATGTGGGAGGGGTGGAGGAAGAGAAGGAGGGAGGGTGAATGAGGGTGATACATAATGAAGGAAAGGGATGACGATGGAGGAGGAATCATACAGTCGGGAAGAGAAAGGAACGGGAGGAAAGGGGAAGGAGAAAAGGCGATCCATTAATGAGGGAGGAAGAATGGGAGAGGAGGGAAGAGGGGCGGAAAAGATCGACCGAGGAGGCAAAAAGGAGGATTTGTCGTCTTGTTCGCCTTAGGTATCAGAATCAGATGTTCGAGGGCAAGGAGACGCGCCTCGACCTCATCAACGAGTTGCGCGCGGCCGAGCGCTACGCGGAGACCGCCACCACGGTGGAGGAGAAGCGGTGCCCCGCAGCCACACCGAATGCACACAGCTCACCATCACATGTGTGATAGCACAGTTATCTTGCATGCCACCATTGGTCAAGCATGCGTTTCTGGACGTCAAGTGGCTTGGGGCGGGATGGTAGGGGTGAGGCACTGAATGTCACTTGATGTTTTCTCCAAGAGGAGGTACAGGCGGCCCGGATTAGTAGGTCGACCCTGCCATATCAAGGGTACCCTCGTGTCCTGCATCTCGCGACCCATGCCCCCTGCATTTCTATGGCAATGTGGCCCTTGGAAGGGTCGTGTGTCCTCTCGCGCGTCCTGTCCAATCAAGTCCGACTGTAATGTTTCCCGAAGTACATCTGCTACGAGAACGCGGGGGTGCCGCCAGGACCCGCACGGCGGGCCCAGGGAACGTCTTCCCAGGAGTCTTGGGGGGGAAGGGGACGCAAGTCGTCATCACATTATCTTGGGCGTCATTACGTTATCTGCGTCGCAATCTCTATCATCAGCAGCAGCATCAGCATCATCATCAGCAGCATCATCATCAGCGCCAGCATCGTCATCCTCATCCTCATCCTCATCCTCGTCATTATCATCATCAGTATCATCATCATCATCACCATCACCATCGCCATCGTCCTCCTCGTCATAATCGTAGTCGTCATCATCATCATCATCATCAGCAGCAGCAGCATCATCATCATCATCATCATCATCGGGCTCATCATCATCATCACCATCATCAGAATCAACACCATCATCATCGTCATTGTCATCGTTATCGTCATCATCATCATCATCATCGTCATCGTATTCATCGTGATCGTCTTCATCATCACCGTCATCATCATCATCACCAACAACAACATCAAAATATCAACATCAACATCAGCATCAACATAACCGTCATCAGCATCCTCCTTCTCATCATCATCATCGTCATCATCGTCACCGTCACCGTCATCATTATCATCAGCATCATCATAATCAGCATCAGCATCATCTGCATCATCATCACTGTGATCGTCGTAATCGTCTTCATATTGGACCTGATACGAGTCACAATGTTGATAATCGCATTCGTCAGGCTGGTCGTCATCACGATAGCAGCATGATTTGCCGTCCACGTGATCAGCATCGCCACGGTGGTCTTCTGAGCCATCATCGAGCCAACAGTCCTCAGTACCAGCGTCGTCTGCGGTCACGTCCTGGCCGTCGTGATCACGGCCGCAGGCAACGTCTACTCTGCCCGACGCGGCCAGGACCGCAGAAGAGCGAGGGTTTCTCCTTTTCCTCGAACAGCGACTGCCGTAAGAGGAAGCAGCTCCTGTCGTCGAGGCAGCCTCTGGTCCCCAGGGAGGGCGAGGCGGCCGCCGAAGCCGCGCGCCGTGCCGTGGTCCTGCCCGCGTTTTCGCCGTGTCCTGCCGTGCCCCGCGTGCCGTCTCGCCGTGCCGCGCCTCGCCTCCTCCTCCTCCTCCTCCTCCTCCTCGTCCTCGTCCTCCTCCTCCTCCTCCTCCACCTCCTCCCAGCTCAGTGTCTCACACGCCAGCCCATCGGTCAGATGCTGTGATAGCTGCGCTTCCGCCGAGGGAGCGCAAGATAACCTTGGGTAACAAAGATGCCGATAGCTTGGCTAAACATGCTTTAACCTTTCATCCGGGCCTGCCGCCTGCGGAGCTCGAAGAGCTCGACGCTGTGGTAGGCACGATGCGTAAACTGGTTTCGATGTTCGCTGCTGTCCTATCGCTTTTCCCGAAACTCGTTTTCCGGCGGGACCCCACTGGACCGCGGCCCAAGACCCTGCGTGCCCACCAGTGGCACGATTGGGTCGCTCTGGACTCGGACGACCCCTCGGATGAAATCGTGTCCAGGTGTTCAAAATGTTGTCAAGTGGCGTACGGCGAAGGACGACCGATGCTTGGATGCAAGGGTCTTTCTACCGCCCTTCGACGCCTGCATGGCGCGGAGAGTGAGCGTGGCCACCTCCTCTGTGCAACGATACTGCAGGAAGCTGACTGCCAGCCCCTGGTGTTTTGCTTCCGATGTGGAGCTTGCACGAGTAAGCGGTGTTTCAAGCTTGGCATGCTGTGTGACGGTCGCCCTGGATCGAGTGGCAGGTCTGCTCTCCACTTAATTCGTCAGGGCCGCTACCCGCACTGCAGGAGCGGGGCGGCGGTTGACGCTGGCAATGGTGGTACCACCTGCCGTGCCACCGCCGGCACTGTGTTGCGAGAAGCAGCCCGTCCACCAGCCCCCTCGGCTTCCTCCTCGTGCCGTTTAATTCCCACGGAGGGCATGACGGCACTTGCTGCGCGTATCCGTGCTCGTGAGGAAGCGGCGGCCGCCGCCCGAATCGTTTAATGTATTGCATTGGTGCGGCGGTCATAATGTTGGCGCGACAGGCGCGGGGTGACAATTTCGTGTCGAAACCGCGTCTCGATAGGAACTGGCTTTTTCGAGCTTGAGCCAGCTTGAGCCCAGCTCAAGGGGTCGCCTCAAATCAGCGGCGTTTTGTAGCGCGTATCGTGCGCTGGGCTGCGCGCGGCGCCCCTTTTAGGCTTGGTCATGTTACGTTCTGCCTCCGGGCCCTCGAGGAAAAATCCACCTCCTCCCCCTCCTCCTCCCTCTCCTCCTCCTCCTCCTCCTCCTCCTCCTCCGCGGTGCCCAGCCTTGGTCGAAGGGGAGCGGGCTGGCGGTCGCGTGCCCGCGCGGTGCCCGCGTGGCGGGCCGGGCCGTGCCCCACTGGTGCGAAGCACGAGGCACCCGCCGTGCCATGCCGTGCTCGGGCGCCGCGCCGTGCCCTTGGCATCGTTCGGGCGTGTGCATTTTTCCTTTGGCGAGGACCCTCGAGGAGCATCCTTGATCATTTGGCGAAAAGACCACGCACGAAACCGGAAAAAAAACACAGGGAATGGACGTCCGAGCGATGGCGAGTGCCGTGCTTTGTGCTTCGGAGTGCGGCGCAGGTGCCGTGCCTCGGTATCGCTCGGAGGCTTTTACCTAACAGCGAAGACTGATAGGTTTCTAATGGGGTCAAAAGAGAGCATCTGATGACTCCCCAGGCTGGTCTGGGCGGGAGCCGGACAGGCGAGGGCCGGGCTCGTTTTAAGCAAACAGTCGCACACGTCGTGCTCTTCGACCTCCCAGAACTCCATTCCCGGGCCACATTTTGAATGAATGCCCGGAGCCAACTGTAGGCCGCTTCGTGCTCTTCGACTTCCCAGAACTCCATTCCCGGGCCACATTTTGGATGCCCGGAGCCAACCGTAGGCCACTTCGTGCTCTTCGACTTCCCAGAACTCCATTCCCGGGCCACATTTTGGATGCCCGGAGCCAGCCGTAGGCCACTTCGTGCTCTTCGACTTCCCAGAATTCCATTCCCGGGCGACATTTTGAATACCCGGAGCCAAGTGTTGGCCATTTCGTGCCACATTTTGAATGCCCGGAGCCAACTATACGGACAGAACAAATCCAAGTAGCGCGGCCATCATCCCATCATCTTCCTCAATAATCACATCATCATCATCAATGGTTTCGCCGAACACCCCGGTGGAGACTCAGGTCTTACGGGTCCGTGCCCATACTATTATTACCACTACTACGACATCACACTAAATCCATTCATGGGAGTGCATGTTTTGGAGCCGCACTCATTGATGCAAGTGTGTCGTTGACGCTCAACCCGTTGATAACAGTGTCTCGCTTGGAATCACATCCGTTGATAGCAGTGTCTTGTTCAAACCTCAGTGCATTTATACAAAGATCTCATTTGGATATACCGTTATCGAAAGCAGTGTTTCTACTGCTACTACCACTGCTCCCATCACTCCTACTCGTTCACTCCACACACTACAACTACTACTTCACTGTTACCACTACTACCATCACTACTACTTCTACTGCTACTACTACTGCTACTATTACTGCTGCTGCTGCTGTTGCTGCTGCTAGTGTAGCTATTGCTACTGGCGGTGCCATTGCGACTGCCGCTGATGTTGCCACTGCGAGTGCCACTGCGAATCCGAATGCGACTGCGAGAACACCAGAATTCTACAACAGCGCTCTTACATGAATACCACATGCAATGTTTCCAGCTTTGCTTCTACACATCGCTGTTAGGTTGCTTTGCTTGGATAATTTACCTAACAGCGAAGACTGATCGGTTTCTAATGGGGTCAAAAGAAAGCATCTGATGACTCCCCAGGAGGGTCTGGGCGGGAGCCGGACAGGCGAGGGCCGGGCTCGTTTTAAGCAAACAGTCACACACTTCGTGCTTTTCGACGTCCCGGAACTCCACTCCCAGGCCACATTTTGAATGCCCGGGGCCAACTGTAGGCCACTTCGTGCTCTTCGACTCCCCAGAATTCCACTCCTGGGCCACATTTTGGATGCCCGGAGCCAACCGTAGGGCACTTCGTGCTCTTCGACTTCCCAGAACTCAATTCCCGGGCCACATTTTGGATGCCCGGAGCCAACTGTAGGCCACTTCGTGTTCTTGGACTTCCCGGAACTCCATTCCCGGGCCACATTTGGAATGCCCGGAGCCAACTGTAGGCCACTTCGTGTTCTTCCTTTTTCCAGAACCCCACTCCCGGGCCACATTTTGAATGCCCGGAGCCAACTGTACGCCACTTCGTGCTCTTCCACTTCCCAGACTTCCAAGACTCATCATCGTCATCATCATCATCATCATCGTCCCCGTAGCCTTCTTGGCTACAGCCCTGCTTTCGAAGATTTCCTTTCAAAGGAATTGCGCAGCGCCTACTGCACACCTTAATGCCAGGACATGCTGATAGTTCTCGGTCTGGCGGCGGTGCTCCTGACCCTGCTGCATTGAACTGCGGTGCTCCTCGGCCTGCGGCAGGGAACAGCGCTGCTCCTCAGCGTGCTGCATTGAGCGGTCCTCTGCAAACGCTCGTCGAGCACGTGAAGCAGTTCGGCCGGATACCGAAGCGAAATAAAGGAACGTCCGAACAAGAACGGGCCGAAGACAAGTTGGCCAAACGTTTCTCGGACCGTCGCGACCGCATCCCCAAAGACATTTTGCATGAACTGCGGGCCCTGGGCTGCGCTGATCAGCAGACGGAGACCGAGGAGCCCAAGCGGAAGCAGAAGACCGAGGAGCTCATGCAGCAAAAGCGAAGACCTCAATGCATTTATACAATGGCTTCGCCATCAATGGCTTCGCCGAGCACCCCGGTGGAGACTCAGGTCTTACGGGTCCGTGCCCATACTACTATTACCACTACTACGACATCGCACTATTGGAGCCGCATTCATTGTTGCAAGTGTGTCGTTTGAGGCTCAACCCGTTGATAGCAGCGTCTCGCTTGGAATCAAATCCGTTGATAGCAGTGTCTCGTTTAGACCTCAATGCATTCATACAAAGATCTCATTTTGAGATACCGTTATCGGAAGCAGCGTTTGCGAAAAGGCCACGCCCGAAGCCGGAAAAGAACACGCGAGGGGATGGGCGGCCGAGCGACGGGGAGGTGCCGATTTCGGCGCGCCGTGCCGCTTCGAGCCGCGCTCGGCTGCGAGCTCCGCGCTCTCTGCTTCCCCATCGCGGCCGCGGCCGCCCATGGAAAGGCGCAGGAGGAGGAGCGCCCGCCGTGCCGTGTCGCGCCGTGCTTTGGTCGTCGGAGTGCGGCGCAGCTGCCGTGCCGTGCCCGCGTGCCGTGCCGTGCTCGGCTTCGAGGTCTGCGTTCTCTGCTGCCCCATCGCGGCCGCGGCCGCCCCTCGAACGGCGCAGGGGCTACTCCTCCTCCCGCGCGCTCCCTGCCGGCTCACGACGTGGCCTCGGAGCAGAAGCCCTCGCCCCTCGCCGCGGAGCGCTGCCTCCCCGCGCGGGGGGGGCCCGAACTGCCCCCCCGGAGGACCGAGGCCGGGGCAGCCGCGCCCGCCACGATGCCCGCCGCGAGGCCTGCAGGGGGCCCTGGCCCGCCGCGCCCCCCGCCGGGGCCGGCGCCTCTCTCCGCCGGCCGCCGCGGCGCGCTGGCCGGCAGGGTGGACGCCGGCGCCGCGGGCTGGTCGGCGGAGGCCGTCGCCGCGGGGGAGGCGGGTGCCAGGGCTCTGCGCCGCAGTCGGGCCCTCGGGGCCCTCGCCACGGGCCCCGGGGCCGTCACCGTCAGAGAGCGGGTCCTGTGGGGGGGGAGCGGGCCCTGAGGCTTCTTCTCATTTTTCTCGGGCTCTCGGGGCCCTCCACGGGCCCCGGGGCCGTGAGAAAGCGGCTCGGGACGACGAGGAGCTGGGCCCGTTTCCAGCAGGCCCCGTGGTCCCCCATGCCTACCCGATCAACGAGGGAAGCGTGGCCAAGGGGCGGGCGTGGCGCGCATTCGCCAGGGAGCCTCGCCGCGACGATCCCCACTGGGCTGCCCGCCCCTGTGGCAGTTGCCGAGCTGGCGCCACTCCGGGGGGGCGGGCCGCAGAGCGGTGCAGAGCGCGCCGCCGCGGCGGGGAGCGGCCGAGGGGCCGCGCTGGCAGCCCGCGCGGCGCGGCATCGGCGCGGGGCAGCAGCGCCGGCCGAGCGGCGCGGCCCCGCGGAGCAGTCTTCGGGCTGCTTCGCGTATCTCCACCAGCAGTCGTGGCCTGGCCTTCACTAATTATCTGGCATTGCGCCCCACTGCCTTCTGACGCGCCCTCTGGACTTTTCCTTGCGGGCCGCCGAACAAAAAAGTGACTCCACCAGCTGCAGCCCGCACCACCTCCCGCTTCCGGTTCTCCGAGGTGCCGTTTAGGCCTCTGTTTGCTGGCGCGTTTGGCAATTAGGTTCGCGCGTGGCCCGCCCGACCCGTTTGACGCCGCCTGCGCTTCCGCTTGCGGCTGCGAAAAAAAAAAAAGTAAGCCCACCAGCCCGTCCAGAAACGATGCCCAGAGGAATTGCCTCGATCAGGGAAGGGTGCAGCCCACACAGAGGAAGGGTCCCCCAGTGGAGGCCTCTTGGAGCGTCTTGGGGTCCTCTTGGCGGTCCTGGACGCCTCTTAGAGCGTCTTGGGTGCCCTGCGGAGCAGTCTTCAGGGGAACGAGCGATGACATCAACATAAACATTCGGACGTCCGCGCGGATCCAAGGAATCCGCGCGGACCTCCGAGTTTTGTGCCACGCTTTCCTGTGGCTTCGCTGTGTTCCTGCGCTGAGCGCACACCGCTTGAGCCGGCGGAGGGCTTGGGAAATCTACCCAACACGTGATCCTTCTGTCCGGGTGCGCACTTGGCTCGTCAGCGGCCCGGCTGTTGCTGCCCCGGCGCTTCGTGCCCCACGTCTACGCCTTGCCAACAGAGGGCGGGGTGTGGCGTGTCGGGGCGGGCCGCACTTGGGCTCTTCGGCGGCGTCGCGTGCCCGCTCTGGTGGTTCCGCCCAGCTCCCAGGCCTCCTTGGGCTCGCGGCTGGGCCGTCGGGCGCGCCCGGCGGCGGCGGTGCCCGCGGCGAGAGGTTTCGATCGGATCGAGCTCGCACCTGTCCACCCGGGGATCCCGTCGCCATGCTTCTGGAGCGACGTCGCAGCCGGCGGGGCCTCGCCACTGTTGCATGGGGGTGGTGGCGTGATCACAGCGCAATCTGAGATTCGGGAACGACTCAGGGTCGCTCATGAGGATGGGGGGAGGCCGCCCAGGCCGCTTAGCAGATTGGGCCAGAGGGTCGCGCCGCATCGCCGATGCATCGGCGCTACGGGTCAATACGAGCCCGACTCGTTCCATGCCGACATCGCCGATGCAACCGCTATGCGGCGCGATATTCCGGCCATCTCTGCTCTGGCCTCTTGGACGGCCTCCAATTGTGGGGTGTTCGCAGGGTGTTTGCGCGAGCGAAAGTCTGGGGCGAAACAAAGACGTACGCGTAAACGAACCCACATCGGTTTCGAGAGGGCGCGAGCGTTCGTGACAAGAGGGCGGTCTCGCGAATTGGGGGGCATTCATGTAGAACTACGTGCCTGGGGGCGAACATCCTTTTGTTGGATCTGGTGCCCCGCTCGGACTCCGCGCTGTGTTGCTGGTGACTTTCCAAGCGTGCCTAAGGGTGGAAATGAGCAGGCCTTCTCGGAGGAGAGGCAGGCAGATCCAGTGCAGCCACTGGGAGGCGTTCGGGATTGGTGATACAGCTCCCCCAGACTTCAGGAGTCCCTCTCCTCCCACAAAGCTCCAGGGGCGTTTCGAGACAGGTTTGCGGGACGCCCAGAAACCATCTGGCCCCATAAACAGGCCCACCTCCTCCCCCATCCTCCTGATGCATGGCCCCACCGAATCCTGAGTCCCTCTCCTCCCACAAAGCTCCAGGGGCGTTTCGAGACAGGTTTGCGGGACGCCCAGAAACCATCTGGCCCCATAAACAGGCCCACCTCCTCCCCCATCCTCCTGATGCATGGCCCCACCGAATCCTG